TTCTATATTTAACTAAGTATCTTATGTATCTTCCAGTATCTTATGAACCATTTTTGCTGTTCAGTATGTCTCTTGGTGGGAAAAGGACCAAATATCAATAAAAAAGTTGATTGATAACTGTAGATTTGAATGACTTGGGTCATTGAACCAAGACACATACCGATGTGGCCATATAAATAATGGCTCCATATTCCTGACTAGGAGAACTTTCTCCCTATTCTCCCCCAATGAGATGCTGCTGAAGACCAAGACATATCTTTTCTCTTGACTTTATTATGACCACTATAGCAGCCATTTCCTTTTCTCTCCAAGCAGAGAAAAACAATCCCACAACCATAACAAGAACGGTAGCATCTTAGCAAATTATAGTCATGATTTAGTTGTATATCCCTGAAGATCCATTCAGTCAACCTGCTTGGACCCTTCTTCTACTTGGAAGAGATAGTTGCATTTGACTTGAACTTAGACCTTATAGTTAACATAAATCCCAGGAAGCATAGTGGTAACTTGGTGGCCCTCTCCAAGGAAATCAAACTGAGGCTTTCTGTAAACTAATGTCTTCTCTGAATTCATTTATTTTCTTCCTCTTTATTTCTCTTTTTATAATTCCCTTTTTTCTTCATCTATTTTATTTATATTGAATAGGTATAGGACAATATATTTAGTAATATGAAAAGGAAATTAAGAAAACAATTCAATTTACAATGGCATTAAAAAAGAATGAAATACATAGGATTAGACTTAACCAAGGAGTTGAAAGTCTTGTACACTAAGAATGATAAAACATTGCTGAAGAAAATTAAAGAAGATAGAAATAAAAAGATATTTCATGTTTATGAATGGAGACAATATTTTTAAGATGTCAAAACTTCCAAAAAAAATCTACAGATTTAAATGCAAAATCTATGAAAATTCTAATGCCTTGTTTTTTTCAGAAATATAAAAGCTTATCCTAAAATTCATGTGAAATCTCCAGGAACCACAAATAGCCAAAACAATCTTTAAAAGGAAGAATACAATTGGAGAACTCATACTTTACAAATTCAAAACTTGCTAAAGAATTTCTGCAATTAAAACAGTGTGGTACTGGCATAAAAGCAGACAGACCAGTGAAATAAAATAGAGACCCACAAACAAATCTTCAAAAAATGGACAATTACTTTTGACAAGTGGGCCAAAACCACTCAATGGGTAAAGGATAGTCTTTTCAACAAATGGTATGGGGAAAATGGGATATCCAGAGGCCAAAGAATGAAGTTAGACCCTTACCTTATACTACATAGAATAATAAACTCAAAATGTATCAAAGACCTAAACATATAGGCTAAAAATATAAAACTCTTAGAGGAAAACAGTGGGAAAGCTTCAAAATATTGAATTTGGCAATGATTTTGTGGATATGACACAAAGATCATAGGTAACAAAAGAAAAATGAGATAAACTGGATTTCATCAAATTAAAAATCTTTACGCATCAAAGGAGAGTGGAAAAGGCAACCCACAGAATGGGAGAAAATATATACAAATCATATGTATAATAAGGAATGAACATCCAGAATACATAAAGAATTCCTACCACTCAAGAACAAAAACCAAACAATACAATTTAAAATTTCACAAAGAACTTGAATAGGCATTTCTCCAAAGAAGACATACAAACAGTCAATAAGCACATGAGAAAAATGCCCACCAACATCACTAATCATTATGGAAATGCAAATCAAAACCACAATGGGATACCCCCTCACACCCATGAGGATGATTACTATTTTTTTTATAAAGGAAATGTTGGTGACAATGTGGAGAAATTGAAACTCCTGTGCATTGCTGGTGGGAATGCAAAATGGTGCAGCTGCTGTGGAATACAACATGGAAGTTCCTAAAAAAAAAATCATAGGGCTGGCCCCGTGGCTCACTCGGGAGAGTGTGGCACTGATAGCGCAGAGGCCTTGGGTTCGGATCCTATATAGGGGTGGCCAGTGCACTCACTGGCTGAACGTGGTGCAGACAACAATGAGCCAGGGTTTTTGATCCCCTTACCGGTCAAAAAAAAAAAATATATAGAATTACTATACAGCAATTCCACTTCCAGGTATACAAGGGTACTTCAAAAAGCTCATGGAAAGATTAGCATTATCTTTCACCTGTATTTTTCCACCTTTTTGAAGTACCCTTGTATACCTGGAAGTGGAATTGCTGTATA